ACCCTAAACCCTAGACCCTAAGGCTCCAAACTAGTACGACCCCATAGAATCCTGACTCATTCAGCAGGGTACTCAAAGCCACTGGGATTGCTCCCGACATGACTCACCTGTCTGTATGTAAATTACGGGTCTTAATAATTACCTATACTACTTTCGGGTTCCTTATTATGTTTATAGTATAATTTTATGGGCCCCAACAATAAAGTATGTATAGCTCCCGGAGCAAGCAGTCCTGAAAAGGTCAAGTACGTAGCGCATGTTGTGCTCGTGTTCTGGCGGCTGCTCAGTCGGAGTGTAGACTATCAGTGGGAGGTGTGCCGGACCTAGGATCAGAGTGGGAAAGCCTCTGGGACCGGGTTCGCCAATGTCGAGCTTCTGCTGCATCATGGGCAACTCAGTGGCCTGCGTCAGCGTGTTGTGCCCTCGCCAGGTCTGACATGGGGCCGTTGGAAAAGTCACGGAGTTTTGGCAGACGTACAGGCAGGGCAAACAACCAAAGAGAGGGCAGCACAAGGTACATAACATGTGCAACGGGCCATACCCCAGCAGCAGCCACGGGCCCTTGATGTAGCTGAACCAGGTCACCCTTAATATGCCGCAACAAGGGTCCTGCGCGATCGCGATCCGACTTAAGGTGACCCGTTGAGGGCCGATGTGACGCCTCTCTCGACTTGTGCAGGAGCAAGCATGCCTTCGACAAAGGTCCCTTTGTCAATGGTCATTGCAACAAGCAAGGACCCATCGAGGGACTGGTCCTGGAGCACCCTAAACCCTAAACCCTAACTATCTCTCTCCTATAAACCTTAAACCCTATCTCCTAAACCCTAAACGTCCCAAACCCTAAACCCTAAACGTCCCAAACCCTAAACCCCAAACCCTAAACCTTAAACCTCTAAACGTCCAGAAAGCCTCGGCTTTGGCTTTCCTGGGCGAGGGCGGCGCGCCCTCGCCAGAGCATTTCGAGGCCAGGAGCGCCTTGAGAAGCTCTCTTGGATAGGGGCTTGGGGGGGTTTAGGGGATACTTAAAGGATCATGGGACTTAGTAAGTAGGGTTATAATTAAGGTAATTATACTTATAACCCCAATTAAGGGACTTCTAACCTTACTTACTAAGTCCCATGATCCTCCAAGTAGGGTCTTGGATTTTAGGGCTTTAGGCGAGGAAAGGGTTTAGGGTTTAGGGTTTGGGGTTTAGGAGTTTAGGGGTTCAGGGGCTTAGGGTTTAGGGGCTTAAGCGAAGATAGGATTTAGGGTTTAGGGTTTAAGGGTTTAGGCGAAGATAGGATTTAGATTTACGTTTTAGGGTTTAGGGTTTACAGGTTCAGGCGAAGATAGGATTTAGATTTACGTTTTAGGGTTTAGGGCTTAGGGGTTCAGGCGAAGATAGGATTTAGATTTACGTTTTAGGGTTTAGGGTTTAGGGGTTCAGGCGAAGATAGGATTTAGATTTACGTTTTAGGGTTTAGGGTTTAGGGGTTCAGTCTGCAACCAATATTCCAAGCTATATAGTCTTATAGGTGGTGCGAAAACTGCCGCTTTTGAGATGAATCGCGTCCAAACCTGGAACATCTTTGAGGAAACCCAACACTCGGTTCACCACAGCTTCGGTTTGGGCTGGATTTGGGCTGGATAGTCGGGGCGCATAGCACGTTCAGGGTCAAGGAGCGTACGTTGTGCAGACCGGTCTGCTCACGATGTGCAGACATTGATGCGTGCAAAATCAATCAGGTGGGGGCTCTCCAAAACATTCAACTGAGCTTGATGAAGCATGGTTGTGCTGGACGGTACTTCCAAATGCAAACACACAAACACAAGCAGTCACAGCAATCAACCAACATTGGCAGCACTGTCAAAAACAACTCCGCGACGAGCAGATTGGACAGATTGAAGACGTCTCAAGTATACCTCAAAGCCAAATCGCCAAAACAACATAGCCTCCGCAAGAGATGTAAGCCCTAAACCTCAAGAGCACAGATAAGTCACAGGGCGAGTAAATGATCAAAGATCGGCGTAACTCAATCAATGTATGCGTCCACCTGTTCGTGTCTGTGATTGTGAGTGTGACTGGATACGCGGCTCACTCCATATAGATGCTGGTGCTTCTTGTCTCAGAAAGTGTCCGTCTGCCCGTTTGATCGCTCTTTCTTTCTTTCTTTCTTTCTGCGCACCTGGCCCCCCGTGTTGGGGGGGACCGCCCGAAGGCGTGCGTTACAGGTTTGATCGCTCCCTCGCTCTCTCTTTCTCTCCCTCTCGCTCGCCATCCCTGTCTGAATTCCACGCAACCACGCCACGCAGTTCATGAGGTCAAAGACCAAATCAGTGTATTTGCGTCTGCGCTCGAACGAGATTTCCATGCATGAACAGACGGCGCTCACATCGCTATTTCCCCGTTCCGCCGACTTCTCTCCTGTTTGTGTGGCTTATGTTCTCGGCGTGCCTCGTTACGTTCTACAACAAATGACCGTATTGGGGCAGTATTAGGGTGTGCTCATGCCGTCTCGAAAAAAAAAAAACACAGTGTTTGTGCACGGAGAAAATCCCTCCAAATGCTCCCTTAACCGAGGCAGCCATTGCTTCAAGAACGTACTACGGTACATCATAACTCCCAGGCGATAAGCACTAAAATGAGCCCAACACGAACGTATAAGGATTTCGTTGAACAAGAGACGGGCCATGTAAGCAAAACATGCACCCCTACGTGAACGTATGCAGCATTTGCATACTTTGGATGCCGTGGGGCACTTGTGAGACACTAAGCCCAGGACTTGAAGATGCTGTCGGATCTGTGCCTCTGGCTTGACGCACGCGTCTCGGAGGTCAGGAACACACCTGAAAGACCCTGAGCTCAGGACTGGAAGATGACGGGTCTTCAGCTTGCGCTGCTGCCTCCTGCCGCAAGAATAAAGTGCACCAGTAAAGCGAACCCAGGGCAAGTTCAATCAAGCGGCTTGCAGGGTAAACGCGATGTCGTCCATCAGCATTTGTAAATCTTCATCGGAGTCGAGAGTATGATCCTTGGATGGAGAGCAAGTTCAACCCAACGTTCCATCCCTTCCAGCACTAGCACTGACGAAACTTCAGCAGGGTGGCAGCTCCTGGCATCGCCACTGCTGGAGGAGCGCCTCCTGCGATGCCAGCCAACCATGTCAGGCCACTCTGGATCCACGGTGTCCACGCCTGCATTTGCGGATGCGGGCAATTTCAGCAAACATGGAAGGCTTGTCCACTCACACTCGTCCGACAACTTCAACCAAGTGACTGAGCTCGAACTTGCAGAAGCCGCTGGCGTCACCTCAATCTGGCGCCGCACTGACCCGCTGCCCTCTGATGATGATTTCCAAAGCTTGATGGACGACATATCCTTTACCCTGCAAGCCGGCTCGGCTGCTTGATTGAACTTGCCCTGTGTTCACTTTACTTGTGCACTTTATTCTTGCCGCAGGAAGCAGCAGCACAAGCTGAAGACAAGTCATCTTCATCCCCAAACACGATTCAATCCCACAAGGAAGCATGGAGAACACACGGATCCCGCGCGCACAGCATGCCATGTCAGCACCACTCCAACGCAGTAACCCGAGATAGCCCGAGGGCGATAATCGACAAACCAGACCGGTAGCCTATTTTTTGGGTAGTGCGACTTTCGTCTTTATTACGGAAGCTTTGCCACATTCCCAAACCCAAATCCTTACCGACGCTTGTTCAGCAATGCTTCCACCGGAGGATGCTGTAAGGGGCGCGCCGAGGATGAGGATGGGCTGGCAATGCACCGATCAAACCTCAGCTGCCGAAACAAGCAGATTGGACAACCAGTGAAGGGTGTTG